TAAAATGGAATAGAAACAGACACAATATATTCAACCCTATCACGAATTCCATTCGCATAATCCTATGAATTGCAAACTGAACTAAAACGTAGACTTTTAAATGGTCACAAATTGCTTTCGTAAAGATTATGAATCAGCAATGTAGTACCATTTTTCGGAATGTCAAAATCAGTATTTCCACTGTCAAATATTTATTTATATTTTTTTGTTGTTATTATTTAAGTATACAACTTTCATACAAAAGTATATTTTTTAAAATATCCTATTGTATGAAAGTTCTACTGCTTTTTTAGTGTTTAAATATTTTTGAAAAATGGAAAATAAAAATTCAGCAATTATTTTTAACTTTAGAGAAAAATTTAAAACAACCGTACCCTTTAAATTGCTTGTTACGTGTGATCATTTCTTTCCTAGACTTTTGACATACATTTTTACTACGAATGTAGCAGTTTTTTAATAATTCGAAATTGGCAAAATGATATGCATAATATTCCGAATTTCGGGGCTACGAACGAAATTAATGATAAGGCTGGTTAATTTTTTTTAATTACACAGAATTTTTATCTTTGAATTTCATTAAATTAAATATTGTTATTTAGTTGATATTTTTTTTAATTTAAACTTAATTTATTAATATAATTTATTATGAATTATTATAATAATTTATAATTATAATTCAATCAATTCAGCTAAATTCCTGTACTGTAAAAATCATGTAAATTTAATTAAATTTAAAAAAACAAATGTTTCGTTCAGTTTCGTTCATTTAACGTTATTTATTTAATAAAATTGACTCAGAGTTTATGTAACAAAACATTATTAAATCAAATTTTGTATTAAAAGGAATCCAAATGCAATTATATAAGCGCAAGCATAACATTATATTATGATCTTGAAAAACTTTAATCAACGAATGCCTCCCCCATACAGGCTTTTGGAATTTGCCTTATGTATTCTGTATTGTTACTGTTAACTTATATATTGAAAGTTAAAGGAAAAAATATTTATGCTATGGTGCATATAATTGTGATTTTATTTACAAATACACGTCTCGTAAAACAAATTTTGAACAAAAAGATACCTGTAACTGATATTACACATACCAGCAACCAATATTGTCATACCAATAAAATGTACACACAAGAAACCATATCATGTGTAGTTTACTCTTTCAGAATATCTTACAATTTGTAAAGGTGTAATAAATTTTTATGTATGTATTTTTCATTATTGTAACATAATAAAAATGTCAACATATTTATGAAAAAGATAAATTTACAATTTTTTTTTTTTTTTTTTGTGGAATATTGAAAAAGTTTATTTTCCCTTCTTATTATTTTTTTCGTGATATTTTTTGTGAAAATATTTTTTGTACATAGAAATTTCTGTAAAAAAAAATACTTTTTACGAATAATATAAGAATCTATATGATTAGTTACTTTCATTATTATTCAATGTGGGCTTTAACAGATATTTTAATAAAAAGTAAAGGCTCTGCTATTCAACACTATATTACATGACATTGTTGTACTCGTATATACTGAAAAGAGAACGTGTCATATTCAAATTTATAATGTGTATGCTTTGAATATTGATTTTATTCTTGAATATTGTAATGAATTTTCAATTTTAAACTTAGCAATTTACTTTAATATTTGCTTTATATAATATTATATTTTGGTAATAAATTTATGGAAAATGTATATATGTACATATAAATATATTTCCATGGAAAATTAGACAAAGAAACAATAAGAATTTATATTATATACGCAATTTAATTTTACAATAATAATTTTTTTAATTTACTAAAAAAATTTTTAAAAATTTTTATAATAAAGGCAGAAATATACAATTGAGTTAATTAACTTTTAACACAATATCAAGATCCTTTAGAATTGAATTTTACTGTATTCAAATATATAAAATTTAATTCAATTCAATCTATTTTGAGGTAGTCAAGTTAAGGTGAAAAACCAATTATAGCTCAAAGTAATGAATATAAACCGAAAATCAATAAGAGATAATTAATAATGTAAAATAAATTAATTCTTAATTTAAGTATAATTATTTGTAAATATACATAATTTCAAAATTTATTTCATAAATTTATAATTATTAAAATTATTAATATTTTGCCATCTTTTTATAAAATTTATTAATTATAATTTAACAAGTCTACGAAAATATAAATGTATCCCAAAAATTCTAATTAAATTTTATTATATTATGCACGTGCCATTCAAAATGGTTATTGAATTAATTTTTAAATAGAATAAATTAGAACTTCAAATATGATGAAATCTCATTTCATAGTTAGTTGTATAATATATTCTAAAAAGGAATCTTATCTCTTAACCAATCACATTAATTTTATTTTTTGTAAAAAAAAAAAAAATACACTAAGTTGTTCTAATTTTATTGCTATTACAATGGATTGTTACTCAAGAACAATACCCGTACATAAATGTACATAATATGTTCAAATATAACATATGTACATATATCTATCTGTTATATAAAAACAATCAAATATTCTTATTCATATAAAATTGTAAAACTGTGCCACAATGTGCATACATACATACACACATACATGCTGTTAACAATGCAATTTTAAAGTGTATTTTAAAGATTGTACAGCACACTACATACGATCTTTAAATTTCATATGCGTTGCATTTTCTTATTTTTATTTATTTTATTATGTTGCACTGCAGAATTTTTCTTTCTTATATAATAATATAATAATTACGAAAGAAACAAGAAAATAAAAATGAAAAATTGAAAACCGGATAAAATTTTCTTATTGTCAAGGCTGCCATTGTCGTTATATACTTACATTTTTCTTTCTCTTACCAATATAAAAAATATTTTTCAATGCTCTTGTATAATTATATCTCGTAGACAAGAAAAAGTTAAACCACCACGAAGAAATAATTTTTACTGTAATACATTAAAAATTGTATTATTAAAAATAAGGATAAAATTTAAAAGAAAAGGTAAAAAATTATTGTAACACTAAAGAGGAAAAACCAGTGTAGTTTGGGGTTTTGGTCTCATTTTCTCTACTATAATATACTCGTACATTAGAAAATGTGTTGAGATATGAGAAAAAACAACTGTATTTATATATATATATAAAATAAAAATCACTATAAATGTGTACAGTTTTTCTCCTCCGGTTTCTATAACTATCTTGAAATTTAGAAAAAGGAAAAGGCATTCATGCTTTTCGTTTTTTATTCTCGTTGTTTTTTTTTGCCATTTTCTTTAGTTTCGTTATATAAAATAGAAGTAAGTCAACTGAACAAGGTTATAAAAAATAGAAAACCAAAAAAAAACAGAAAATACAATTCATGTAAATTATTAATGTATATATACATATATATGTATATATATTAGTGTAACATGATGGATGGATGACACAGTTACTGTTACAATTTTCTTTTTTTTTTGTTTAAGATCCTTTAGAGAAAGCAAAAAAAAAAAAATAAAAATTAGAGCAAATTCTCATTTTTAATGAATGTACGTCGTAATAAAATATAAAATGGATTTTTTTTATAAATGTATGTATGTGCATAACATTTTCATCTAAGTTTGAAATCCTCCAAAAACGAAAAAAAAACTATATTTTTTCTATTCTTAAAATGAAATCAAAACTAAAAAAAAAATGTTGGCTTCCAGCTGTAGTGTAAGAAGCAAAAATTATAATTTATCATAATTTTAAATAGAAAATTTAATATAAAACACTTTAAATGATTTCGTTATTTGCCTTTAAGAGATTTTTTTTATTTTTTATAATTTTGTTTTTTAAAGTTCTAATGAAAAAGAAAACATAATTTTCTATGATGAATAAAAAAAAAATAATAATTTTTTGAAAAATTTTAATATTTTATAAGTATATATCTTAGATATACATAATAAAAAAAAAAAATTATAAAATATTTCTAAAAAATAAAAATCAGTCCAAATAATACTCAAGAAATCGGTCAATAGAATATGGTACTACACTCGTATAACATTTATGAGTATAGTTGTAGTTTTTTAATTACTCGAAAATATTCTTAAAATACAAAGTGTTTGAAATTTTTCAAATAATTTCTGTTTCGATCCCTTTTTAAATTGCAAAGTATATGCTAATTCCCTTGGGTAAATGAAAATATTTGCAATAATTAAACCAGTATGTCATCGGGTTTTATGGACATTCTTTGTATTGCTTCATATAAACTATTTCTTAAAAAGTTTTAAATGAACCTCTTTAAAATATGATACTGCCATATATATAGAGTTTTAACTAAATATCTTTAAAGTTTAAATCCCTCTTTAATTCTTTGATGAAGTATATGGTAACCTATATTAGATATTTTTTTATGTTGGTCATAGGGTAAAAAAAGAAAAAATATATTATTTCGTTTTACAATTGTCTTTTAAAGATTAAATTATTGTAAACGAAGTATTTCCGAATTAGTACGAAGTTTTTTAATGGTTATTATATTAGTAGCTGTAGTTTACAATTGAGCCAAGAACCGCTGAATTCAACTATGCAGATAATATATGGAAATACTGCAAAGTTTAACAAAAATCTACAAAGTCACAACATTATAAAATTTAAAAAAAAAAAACAGTAAAGAGTTAGAAAATTAGAAATTTCTGTGCAATGTGAATAAATGCAACTCATATTACAGTCCCTTACTTAGATTTTAGTCAAACTTAACATATAATGCTGCCGCTATACCGTATATATTCACACAATTCGGTACTGAAATTAATAACCACCACCCTCCAATATTGAAAGGAATTTTTAAAGGATTTTTTCATAGTCTTGTACCCAACACTTTCTCTAAACTAAAAATAACACCTTGCTGTCACTTATGTACTGGCAACTGAAATAGCCCCTAAATTATTATGATTATGAATGAATGTATGATTGTTCCTATATATATTACTCAATTTTCATTAAATAAATTTTTATCACAAAAACGCTTTCTTTTTTATAGGGTGTTCCCGTAACACAAAATGTATCATGGGGTGTTATAATCTCTACAAGATCATTGGTATTACAAAAAATTACAAGAGTACATGCTGGTCATTATGCATGTGCTGCTGCTAATGATAGAGGTGAAACTCAAAGTGCCTTAGTTAACTTAAGGATAAGATGTAAGTACATAAATTGCTATGATGTTCAAATACAATATCCAGATTGTGATTTTCAAAATTTTTAATTGATTTGATTAATGGTTTTTAAAAATATTATTCTTATATGATTTATTCCTAAAATTTCAAATCGTTCAATTTATTTTTATTTGATTTGAAATTATTTGAAAATATACAAAATTAAAATGGATATTGAATTTTTTTTTTTAAAATCTGGGCCAATTTTTTTCCAGTCTTAATAAATAAATAGAAAATTTTTGAAATGAATTCAAAAAACAAATTTTCTCTTAAAAATCTTTTTAAACCTTTTAACTAAATGGAATTTTTACTATTTTTACTTTACAATTATTTTAATTTCTTTTTTATTATTCTAAATATACCAATATGGGATTTTAAAGCAAAAGTTTTTGTCTAAAGTTTATTTGAAAATAAATTATTTACACAAATAACAGTCGAAAGCCGGTTGATATATTGAAATAGTATTGGGAGTAAAATCTTGTGAGCAAAGGAGTATAACAGAAAAAATAATGCTGTTCTTTTCTTACACTTTCTTAAAGTACATCTGATCTAAAATGTCTTTAATAATGTGAATTCCTGAAAACTAGATTAAAATAAAAGTGTCGATTGCATGTTTATTAAATTTTGTAATATGGTACAAATTTCTTTTCTTCTAGTATTGTTTGCTTGGGTTTATCCAATCGACTTCATATTTTAAATATTATTTTAACTATACACAAATAAACAAATAAAATTAATTTTCATTAAAATACTCGTATTTTGTAAATCCATTAAAGTTTTTTCAAAATCTCATCATTTTTTAATTCTCCAACTCATTACAAATCTACACAAACCAATTAATAAAGCTCTTTAAGATATTCAAATAATAAAATAATTTTAAAAGTTTTTTATAAATTGATTCAACTGCATCTTTCATTTGTAACAATGGAAGGCACTTGCACAACAGTAAGAATCCTTTAAAAATTTATAAAATTTTAAAAATTCAAATTTAGATTTATATGTACATAAGTATATGCACATGTGTAATTTGTTTACTCAATTATTTTGGAGTTTAGTCTTCAAATTTTTCAAATCTTCTAAAATGGATTTGTGTTAAAAAAAAAAAAACAAAAAAAAAAATAGGAAATAAAATTTATATATATTTTTTTAAGTGAAAATACATAAAATTATCATGTGTGTTAGTGTGTGTTATAAAAGAAATACCTTTTGAAAATTTTGAAAATTAATTTCAAAAATGTGAAATAATTCAATAAATATCAATACGTTCAAGAGGGGTGGCCACACATATACGTAGGTGTGCATATATTTTTAAAATATATAGCTAGGTATGTATATACTCATTTTGATAAAACTATATATCCATCAGATCTGAAACCACATGAACCAAATGTGAGGTTATGACACAATATTACAAATATGTGCGCATTCAAATAATTCTATGTATGTACACATAATATACATAGATACATCTCTCAATTTTTATATGCAATTCGTTCTTATATAAATTTCTGAACATATTTTTACTAAAACAATACAACTAAATTTTTTCTATACGTTCTTACTTATATTAAATGTATACTCCTACATAATGGACATATAACAAAAATATGTATTTAGATATTCTTTCTTTATATATACTTTCCAATGTGTGCACCTTTTGCTTTATAAAATAATATGTATATACATATATAAATATACAAAGTTGTACTAAACAAACAAAAAACAATTTGCACTAAAATTTTTCAAATACGTACCTATACACATTATTATAATCCTTTCAATAAAAGAATATTGAAAATTTCAAAAAAAAAGAATTTAAATTTAAATTCAAAATTTTCTACATTTTCAATATTCTTGCAAAAATGTATAATAGGATAAATAGCAACACAAAGTATATTATATAGGTTGATAAATCAGAATTTTATCCAATTTAAAAAAAAAGCACAATATTATTTATTTGAACATATTTGTACATTTATTATGCTTTTATGAATCTTAAGAAAGGAAAATAAAAAAATAAAATTTCATTCAAAAACATAATATGTATGTATGTGTATACAGATATCAAATGAATTTCAATTACATAAATTCCACCCTAAAGGAAATTTGCTATATTTGATTTAAGTCTTAATTATCTTAATAAATTTCTAGAGAAATTTTCAATAGAAAATTTATAATTTCGAAATTATATCAAAAATATTTAACATAACATTTATGTGAGCATAATGAATCACTAGAACACCACATAATAATTTATGATTTTGCTACCATAGTATAAATACTGCCAAATAATTTACACTATTTTTTGCACTAATTTTAATTAAAAGACCTTCTATTCATGCTATAGTCGCCAAATAACATACAATTTAAATTTGATTCGTTAGTTCGTATAGTGCAATTTTGTAAGTCTAAAACTTCAAAAAAAGTTTGAATATAGGAAAAATTATTCAAATGTGAAGAACCACAATTAAAATAAAATAACAAAGAGTTCATAATAGAAACTTTAGCTAGTTACTTCACAACTGTTTTTAAAACACATATTACCTTCTTGGCTCCAAATGATTATAGAAAATTCAATATAAAAATGTTGGCCATTTTTATTGAATTATAGTACTTTCGGCAAAGTTTTTTGAAGCTAAATATTTAAATGAGTCGAAAAATTAATCTCTTATGTTTTCAGCATCACGTTATTTAAAAATTTTAATATCAAATCAGAAGTTTATTAATATTGCATCACTGAATGATATTAAAAATTTTGCAAGGAAAGGTTCAGGATTAATTTTCCAAGATATTTTCAAAATTATTGAATACTATCAATGCATATATTGCAATTTGAACTGAAAAAAAATTAAAAAATAAATTAAAAATAAAAGATTTTCAATTTTAAGGATTAATTTTTAAATTTTTGAAAAAAAAACTAAGAAAATTCATAAATTTAATAAAGAAAATAGAATATTAAATTGCATTTTTGTTATTAGCATTTTATTAAAAAAATTTGCCTTTATTATTTTAATTTTCACAATAATTGTTAAAGAAAAGAAATTTGAAAATAAGAAATTTTTAATTTCATTGTTTTTTTCTTTGTAATAAAATTAATTTCATTTATACATACATACATACATATGTATATTCAAATATTATTTTACTAAATTAAATTCATTTCAATAAAAATAAAAAATTCTAAACATATACATATATATGTACATATGTACCTTAAAACTCTTGTTGATATTTTGAAAAGATCATATGAATATGAAATGAAACACGGAGAATAGCTTAATAATATATAAATGTGATACCCTAGAAGTGTCTCTGCAAATATTTAATTAGATATTGTTCTAATACGTAATTTGACTATACCTCCTTTTATAGGAATAAAATTTGAATATGAAAAAATTTAATACATATTTAAATTTCACTTTAAAATAAAGTAATTGAGCTTTAGAGTACTAGGCTACTAAATTCAAAAAATTTAAAAAGTATTGATTTATTTAAATTAATCAGCTATATTTTCGACTACAATTCTATATTGACTTCTATAATCATTTCAAGATACAATGTGAAATCTTAAACTAATTTTATAGCTGTAGAATTTATAAATATTAAATTATATGTTAAATAAAGCTTAATTTAGCCGTAATAATAACAAAGAAATGTAAAATGAAACCTTAAACAAAAATAAAATGAGATTTATTTTTTTTAATGTTTCAATATATTAGACACAGAACTTTATAAATTCTTAAAGAAGACCTTTAATGAAATGTTTCTAATAAAATTTAATTATTTTTTAACAATAAAAGTTTTCTGTTTCAAAATTTTATCAATATGAACCATTTTCAACCATGACATAAAAATCACAAATTATTCTCTTAGAAATATCAAAACTGAAATCGGATCACATTTCAAATAAAGTTCTACAACTGCATGTTCTCTAAATCTCTTTGATTTCAGCAACAGTCAATATAATATATTGTTCTGGCACTTTAAAAATCCTAAAAATATTTTTGACATTTACTACATGCAAAGAGTCTTTACATGTAGATTATGTCAAAATCAATTTAAGAAATCAATCAAGAAGAATTTTAATGGAATTTCTGCATGTTTAATTTGAAAATTTCAAAATGTTCCTTTTTTATATAGCTACATACATAAGTGAACTCACATGGATTTCACTCACAATTGAATGAAAATTTTGAGTTGTAACTCAAATAAATTTTTCTGTTGAAAAATAATTAAATAAAGTTGAATTAAAGCAATGGCTTGTAAAATAGCACTTTCCCTTAAACATGTGAAAATACATCCTTTAAAAGTAATTTCTCATTGTATTTAAATTAGATATTTCATTGATATACCAGAATTTATAAAGCTATTGCATTTAATTAGGATGAGCAAAATTTAAATGTCAAATGCGCGGTAGAAGAAGAATGTCGCCACCTTTCGGTTATAAGTTTAAGAGTGATAGAGATAGGTGAAATTTTTTTCTACAGAAATAAGTTTCTAGTAAATATCTGTTTAGGTATTAACAGATTTAGCTTTCTATTTTAAAGTGTACAAGTTTTGTAATAAGACAAATGGATAGAGTGAAACTTATAAGCAATTTTTTTCTCAATTTTTTTTTTTCGGGAAAATGCTAAAAATAATCAAATACATTAAAAATAGCAAATCTATAACTAGAATAAAACTTTTGCAATCCAAAAATGTATTCTATAGATTCTATAGATAACTGAATGTATTCTATAGATAAAAATATATGCAACTTACTCTTTTTAAAGTCAATTTTAAATTGACATTTTATTGCCTTTAGAAACATGAAAACATTATATAATATTTTAGTAATGGCTACGAACATGATTATGCATAATATTAATATACGTACTATATACAACTGCTGTGTCCATCCTTATATTATGTCAACTTCATCGATGCGAATCTCCTCTTATAAATTTGTAATACGCATTGAGAATTAGTACAAAACTTTTATCGAT